GACCGTTGACCTTGACTTTAACCATGGGTGACCAAGTTTGACTTAAGGGTATTTTGGGTATTTTAAGATATAGTTAAGCCTTGGTCTCTATCTGTTGAATAGGTGACCTATAGAGCCGGTATTCAGAGCAGTGTATTGTTCAACTATTCGTCAGACTGCAAGGTGATTTTCGCCTCATTGTACCGTGGGTCGAAGGCACCAATGTCGACCCACTAGTTTTAGTTATCTGTTAGTAGAGGGATGCCTTAAGGACTGTATATAGTCATGTAGGATAAACTGAGGACTCTTGATCTAGGATTTCTTGCATGTTCCTCGTTTGGTAGTGGCTCTAGAGTAAGATCACCTGTCCAGGTGTCTATCTCACCTCTGAGTATATATAGTTATGCATTCCTTTGATTGTTGGCATTTAGTATGTTGCTAAGCTATAGTGATCTGTTAGATCTGTATCCTGGTATATAGGATGTCGCTATGTTGTAGTAATCTATTAGATCTGCATGTTTATCTGTTAGCTATTATATGTTTATTTGTTTCATATGTCGACATATTGTGTTGGGTTGAGGTTATACTGCTTTGTGTTATAGCCAACAAACCCGAGAGCATTCCAGATATGAGCTGAGGGCCCGAATGGCATACCTAACTCATGTTGAGGGCTCATGAGCATTCCAGATATGAGTTGTGGGCCCGAATGGCATGCCAGACTCATACTGAGGGCTCGAGAGCATTCCAGATACGAGCTGAGGGCCCGATTGGCATGCCAGACTCATACTGCGGGTCGAGGGTATTCCAAACTTATGCTGAGGACCTTATAGGGTTATTCCAGCCATAGGCTGAGACCCAGTATATGTTGTTATATGTTGTGTGTTTGGTACTTTGGGGGAACTCACTAAGCTTTGGCTTACAGTTTTAGTTTATAATTTTAGGTACTTCCGAGGATCATGGGAAGACGAAGTCATGATCGTACACAACTCCCTGTTTTATGTCACTGGGTCTTGGGAAAACTCTGATTTGAAATAATGCTTTTGAAACAATGACTATTTTTGTAAACAATGTTGATTAATGGTTGATTTTTTAAAATTTTAAATTTATTGTGATTTTTGGATGTTACAAGTTGGTATCAGAGCCTTGGTTTGAGAGAATTGGATGAACATTCGTGTGAATCCAGACTCAAACTAGGGAACTGCAAAAGTTTTTAAACTGATTTTCAAAGAAATTGTTTTCAAAAGTAAACAAACAAGGATGCGATGTGTACAATGAACCAGAGCAAGAAAGTATACCCCATGTTACCCACACTATTATTTGATATTATGTTTATGTTAGAACAACATGCTAGTGATAGGCTAGGGATCTTCAGGAATTACATGATAGAATTGTTTGATATATGATGCCTGATAGCCTAGGGTTATTTCTTGTATGAAATTGACATTTATTACTATAGTTCAGGTTCATCTTCACCAAAACAGAAGTAAAAGGTGTTTAGCCTCCCATGGTAGCAGAAAAACACACAAAATCCATGTAAACCAAGCTAGACATATGTAATGATTAGCAAACCGAATAGATAAATGTACAAATCTTCATATTCTTGAGCTTCACTTGATTCTCTGTCTTCTCTTGAGTTTACAAAGGTATTTTGTCGCAATTATCCTCAGAAAAACCGATTGGAACCTCCACATCCGACCTAATGTTTTGGAATTTATAATTTCCTTATATCGGCACACCACATCGTGGTTGAAAGCCACCACGTTGTGGTCATCCTGTTTATCCTGTATTCTCCAAGTTAGTTGATTGGTCGAGAATCTTCCCCTCACCACTTCGTGTTGTTGGATTACCACGATGTGGTCTTCAGTCCTCAAGTCTTCTTTTTCCATTTTCCTACTTCCAACTCCTCGTTTTCTTCCTTTTTATCCCGAGCATGTCTTTGTTGTTAGAAAACATATTTAAACCATAATAACTATCTATTTTCTTATAATAATCATGATTATAGCTAAAAATATTAGAAATATGCATCAAAATATGTAGTTAAATATACACATATCACCGGGGCGTCAATATTGGCCAAAAAATCGGCAATGGCCTTCATTTTCTAACAATAATCAGTAATAGAACGATCACCTTGAACCAAAGCATGTAACTCGTTTTCTAATTCGATGGCACATGAAGGCTTGTTGTTCGGAAAAGTGCTTCAAGGGTGGTCCAAATGGAATGAGTGGTGGATTGTGGTTTAAGGATCATGGTAAGGACTGAGGACAAACTGCGCTATAGTGCCGTAGAGCCAAGATTTGACCAAATTATTGAGGTTGTCCCAATCTGCATCAGCTGGATCTTTAGGTTTTGTTGAGCCGTCGAGTTAGCCATAGACACCATAGGCGCGGAATTGAGTGAGGAAGAGTTCATGCCACGCATCATAGTTGAATTCATTGAGATCTAGTATGAGGGGAGCAGGGGATTTGATATGAGCGCATGTGAAAGGTTTAGTTTTATCAACCATGGCCGCTGAAGAGAAGAAGGAGAAGATACGTAGATGAGGAGAAAGAAACAGTAGGATCGATAGGGAGGAAAGAAGTCGGCCCTATGATGATTTTATTAGTTTTATCAGAAAGAGTCTGATATCATGTTTTGGTAAATGTTTTTCCATGATGATTTCATTGATAACATGTTTGGTGAATGTTTTTCCATGATGATTTTATTAATCAAAGGAGTATAAATACAATTTACAATGAACTTAGAAGCTAATACGTATGGTCTAATTAATGGGCCACACAATACAATACAAGGAATGATACACAATATACATTAATAGAAAGCTCTCCCCCTTTCTTTGAATTTATCTTTTCCAGCTTTGTTATCTTCGATGTAAACCTTGCAACCAATAAATCGCATGTGGTTCAATTGTGGTTTTCGATTAAAAAGGATTTCATAAGGAGTCTTGTTGATTAAAAAGGATTTCATAACTTTGGTAAAGTGTAATTTATTATCCACATTAAGATGACTTAGTTATAAGTATTTGACATGAAATACTGTAAATTGAATTCTACTCTATTTGAAATTTCACTTATATTAACTTTAAGATGAGGTTTGAGTATTTTTTTAAATAAAAGTACGCACTAGGCCGTTCATTAGGCGTTGGAATCCTTCTGTGAACGTTGCGTAGGGATCTTTATGCACTAGGCCGTCCATTTTAAAATGTTGTTGAAGATGAGGAAAGGATCTCATTTTGAGTTGTAACCTTCCCAACGAACACCAAATTCCAAATGAAAAGGACAGAGCATATTCCAAGTATGTGTATTTTTTAAGTAAAAGTATGTAAAGTCAAAACTTTTAAAATGCAAAAGAAGTTGAGAATATAAGTGGGAATATATCTACACAACAAGCAACTCAAACAAGAAGACGAATTTACATAGCATCAGAATTCAATTTTAAACTAGATGCCAAAGAGAAACAATTCTAATCATTGATTGACAGCTTCTTATCTTTCTAGCTAAGTATACTCTCTTTTGGGTTCATTACAAAAGGTATTCATATCAAACTTTGTTTTCTTCTTATTAGAATCGTTAATCACCGGTTTAAAAAGGTGAAGAACAACATGAAATAGTGACATCATATGAAAACGTGAGTCGTGAGTCATGATATATGTAATGTATAGATAATGTTAAATGAATATGCATTATGCGGAGTTTAAAAACCTATAAAAATGGCCACTAAAAAAGTCAACTTTGAAACAATATTTGTATTTGGTGATAAATTATTGATGTTCATACAAAGAGATTCATGGCGCAAATTGGTTGAATTTTACAAAGTCAACCCTTTCTTTTGAATTATTATGTATTTATTAAGTTCAAAGGACATTTAACGAATATATGCAGTATTTTTTAATTATTTCCATAAATGCTGAATTTGGTGAAGTTATAAATATGGGAATGACTTTGAAGGGCATATTTAGTAATTTTTTATATAGTTTGTCATTAAACTTATCGAACCGTTTAAAAACAATCATTTTAACCGGATATTGCATGTTGATACTTTTTTGTACACAATTACTATAAAATTCTTTATGTACACACTTTACCATTACATTATGACATTGTCATCTCCTTCGGCCTACACAATCCACTTCCAGCTACAAACATTATCTTCAATTACAATCATTCGGCACCACAACCATCCATCTTTGCTATTCACAAATACCACTACCACGAAAATAATATAAAATCTCTGAATGAAGGTTGTTAGTAATGGTGCACTGTTTAAGAAGAAAGAGGCAAGAGAGGGATGTAGGGATGGGTGGTTTTTGTAAAGTAGCAGGATGAGAGTAGCAGAGAAATGTGTGAGCTTCGGAAGGAAGGATGATGACGGAAGTAAAGTAGGAGTGAGGAGGTTTTCACCGTAGTGAAGAATGATGAAATCATGCGTTTTACAGTTTTTTAAATGAACATAGAAAATAATGTTATCTTTATTCTTTTGGAATTTTGTTGGTCGAAGAAAATTACCGAAAAATTGATGATGATTAGAAAAGATGAAAGTCACTAAATGTATCTACAAGCTAATTTATTGATAATTTGTGTGTAAAAATATAAGTTTAATACTAGTATTTTTTTGAACAATAAACTTAAGTTTAATATTTTTTTTAAAGAGCTAAACGGGTTAAACCTATCATAACCGATTAAAAAATATTGTTTTGAAACAATAAAGGTAAGTTTAATAAAACTATAAAAAATGAAAAAAATAATAATAATTAATTACTCTACAAAATCAATTTTCCACTTATATTACAAACAAACTTAAAGCAACCCATTAAAATATTACTTTTCAAGTTGACCAAATTATTTTTCTTACTAAAATTAGTAAAAGATGTAGCATCTTTATCTTTATGTATAAAACTATAAATAACTAAATAAGTGTCTGACCTTCCCCACTCTCTTTGATTCTTCTTTCATAAAAAAAAGCGGCATCAAACATTCAAAAAACCAAAATAATATACCAAAAGTTAAACGAGACGTGACGAATCAGAAAACAGTGAGAGCCAATAACGAATAGCTTAATTTTGAATCAATCAGAAAACAATTATTATTATTATTCATGTTCTTACAATCAAGAAATCTTGAAACAACCACACTTGCTCCACTCATTTCAACTACACTGGATTCTAAATTTGTTCTAACAGGTCGTGAAAAAAACGCTTCTTCTGAAAACGAGTTCATACGAGTCGACTCAGTGTTGTCCTCTTCCAATTCTTCGTTGTCTATCTGATTTGTTCTTACTGTCATCCACTCTTCTTCGTCAACCCAAATGGGCAAACGTGAAGGAGTTCCTTCAACCAACTGTCCTATCCTAACCAGCGGAGACTCGCCGGAGAAGTTCATGAAATGGGTCAGCGGCGGTGAAGGCTCCGGCGCTTCAAAACAGTCCCAGAATCCTTGATCCAGGATGCTACTTGGAGAATTCCTGGGGAAATTTTGAATCTTTCGGAAATCAGAATTCGAATCAACAAATGGGTGTTGAAGAAGTTGGTTTGCTGTCCACCTTTCTTCAGCATTTGTTCGCAAACACTTATTCAAGAAATCTTTAGCTTCCACCGATAACCACGTCGGAAACAATGGTACATCGCCGGAATACCCAATTTTGTATAAAGCAGACACCGGGTTATTTACCGCAGGCCACGGGTTAGAACCGGTTGCCATTTCAATTACTGCACACCCAACAGCCCACACGTCAGCCGCAAACCCTTGTTCTTCACCTCTTGCAACCTCCGGAGCCATGAAAACCGGTGTACCTGAAAAAACAGAGGACGCAACTCCGCCGATCTCCGCCAATTTAGCACACCCAAGATCACCAATTTTGACGCCATCGCTGGCAACGAACACATTCTGGCACTTGATATCACAATGCACCAAATTGTTGGAGTGAAGATAATCCAACCCAAGTAGAATCTGACGAGTATAAGATCCGATCAAGCCCTCATCAAGACACCCTCCTTGTTTCTTAATCACATCTGAAATCGTGCCACCGGGTGCATACTCCATGAACAGATTATACATCGGAATGTTGTTATCATAATCAACATCAAACCCGATGTACTGGATTACATGAGGGGATTTTAATTTAGAAAGAAATTCTTGCTCTTTCTGTAAGAACTGTGAACTTGAAAGCTCGACAGACTTGACAGCGAAGAGGTCTCCGGTGACTTTGGTGGCGAGAGAGACGGTGGCGGAGGAACCACGGCCGATGATGGGACCTTTTTTCCAGTTCATTTGAGAGAGAAAGTGAGAGAAATTTCAATTTTGATGAGTTTGTTATTAGCATAAAAGCACAATGGCGGGTTGGAATATAAAAGGAGTGTAGAGTAGTTGTGATTGAACCACGTGGCGAAAGGAGAGGGATTTGGAGGATTGGCCGACGATGGGCGGCGTTGCGTTTACTTGGCTTCAAAGTTCAAATAAAGCCAATCACATGAGAACACGTGAGCATCTGGCGTGACTGCGACATCGGCGCTCCTTATTTTTCACTGTCGCACGTTTGTGACAAGTCATATTTTTAACATTGCGGCGCCCGCCTGTTTTTTACCACCGCCCATGGTAATTCACAGCAGTTACAAACGTAACTGACGGATTATTGGAAAAAGTTATAGTAGAAAGGTAAATTATAGAGATAAGAGAACTAATATTATTAAATTTTGTTATGTATTACAATTTACCATTAAAAACAGATGTGAAGGAATATGTAAAATTCCATTGGCTATTTTAAATTAACGTTTAAGTCAAATGATTTAAAAAAAAAATTAGAGTTATTAATAACAAGTGTATAATAATGTACTTTTTGTATTTTCTATACTAATAACTTTAGTAATATTGATTTTTAATATATATTCATTAATAGAAATATTATATAGAAACACTTTCTCATTACATATAATTTACTTGGAATTTAATATAAATAAGGGACTGGAATTGTAACTTATAAAATACCAATAATATAATTTTATAAAAATTAAGGATTAAAATAATTAATTCAAAATTAGTTGAGGGGAAAAAATGTAATTATAAAAGTTTTCTGTAAGCATATTCAAAATTGTTAAATTGTTATTTCCAAATAAAAGGTTATTTGTATTTTGTATCAAATGCTTTAAGAATAATAATATAATCTGAATTTGGTAGTTTTGGTTCCCGTAAAAATAAAAACCAAATGAATAGTATTTTTTACTCAGAGACTCGACGAAGTTGGAATTTAATATATATATATATATATATATATATATATATATATATATATATATATATATATATATATATATATATATATATATATATCTTAATACCTTAATAAACATTTAGCCCAAAATGCTGAATTTTAAGAGGTATAACTCTTAAAACATAGTATACGACAACTTTATGCATTCCAGAAAAATCATGTATTGAAAAAGTCAAGATAAAATAATCCGGCTCCTTATATCTCGGTATCCCCCGATAATAGTTGAAATTTAAAAGACTTTTTCAAATCAAAAATGATAAATACTGAAGGAATAAAGGGGATTTGTTACTTCACAGTTTCATATTTATATAATGCTCTTTCAAATTCCGGATTGAATGTTGAAGACGAAGATCGTTTTTGTTTTTTAGAAATGACTACGATTTCGTTTTTATTTTCTGCTATTGATTTTGATTTTTTTTGTTTTGATCCATTGCAGATTAGATCCTAATCGTAGAACTGCCGCTTCTACGGTGTGTTCTCACAAATGTTTGTGATTCCATATGAGTTTTATTTTTCGTTTTTATTTTGTCATTTTCAGTTCCTCTCTCACATGACCAGAAGATAACTCAACAATATTCATCGTCTCTCTTCCTCACCGTGAAAATCATAAGAAAACTCAAGAAATTGATGAAATCGGTAACGATTGTGTTCATTTGTTTACCACGACGCAGCCCTTTGATCCATGTTGAGTCGCCTTTGAAGCCGTAGATCCCGGCAAAAATCTTTCAGTTCTGGTTCATCTTCCTTTATATCAGGCTCTTCATCTCCCCTGTTGAAATAATTTCTTGTGTTCCTCCATCAATCGAAAAACTCTAAGACCACTCATCACCATCATTTAACCCTGCAACGCCACCATTGAACCACTAACGCTGCTCTCTCCCTCGCCGTCTCTCTTTAAAAAAATGCCTAAACCCCTAATCTCGCTCTCTCTTTTCACAGCCTTTCCTCCATCTCTCTGTCGGGTTCTCTCATCATTTGGCATTAATTTCAATTTTAGAAGCTCTAATCTCAGGTACAATTTATGGTCATCGCTCCACCTACTGCTTCTAAAATATATATGGCGGTCCTAACCTTCTCAGGCTCTTCTTCTCTCTCTGAAAACCCTAGACCCCACCACTCTCTGTGTAGAACCGCCATATGCACATAATTTCTTGGTAATAGATCGAGGAAGATAAAGTCATCTAAAAATGCCGATGTTTTTCTCCTTCAACACAATGATGACCGCTGATTTAGGGCTTATTTGAGAAAGGTAATGATGTTTCAGTTTAAGATTTGTAGTGCTTATAATCAGACCCATTTTAATATCTCAGTCTTTATCCTTGTCTACAGGTCCTGTACGGTTCATGGGATGCTGGTAAGAATCCTCTTTCTTGAAACTCTTTCTCTTTGTTTCTATTTCTCTCTATCATGAATAAATAGCGATTTATGTGATTCTACTTGTGTGTAGATATTTATACCGATGATCATTTTAATGGATACAAAACAGGGGCTCATGTAAACATATGTAAAACTCTGTGAGGTTTACAATTAAAAGTGTAACGATTACTTATATTTTGCTACAATTTATGGATTTAATCTTGTATGTGTGCTCTATATGTATAACCAATTTGTTTTCTTCACTCTTTGATTATAGGTGTTATGTTTTATCCCTTTCAAGCTTTCATTTTTATGCCTTGGCTCCCCAACAAGAATGAGAAGATATGAATCGTTTGTGTATCTTTGTTTTTATTGGGCTTGATTCTAGGTTAACATGGGTGTTTGGTTGTAAAGACCTTTGTACACTCTAATGGAAGCATTTTGTATGGTGCAGCCAGATGCAAGCGATAGACCTGAAAGGATGCATGAAATAGAGGTTGTACAAGTTTGGGTATATCTGTAATTTTCTGAGATATGTGACTTAATAACCTATTTTGATTTTCATTTTAGTGGATCTCTTGGTACAAAATGATTCCCAAACATCTCATTTCACCTGCATATCATTCCTCCCCTGCGTTGAACCGCCCCTAACTATGTGTGTTTGTTTGAAAGTATGCGCCTCTATCTTTTTGTTGGTCTTACTCTTATTTCTTTCTTCTTCAGTGAACAATTCAAAGAAAAGCCAGCTCCAGTAAAAAAATTTCGTTTGTTTCATTCTACTCCTGTAAGTAAGAGTTTTTTTTCTTTCTTCATTGGTAAGAGCTCGGGAAATAGAGAAACCCACTTGAACCGAGGAAATTGTTGAAGCTTTCGCTAAGAGTTCTAAACCATAGGTGATTCCTTGTTATTTTCATGTAATTATTTTGTTTCTTTTGTAACTTTTTCTCGCAGATCTATTCAAGCATAAGTTGGTGGTGGGTTTCTTGAAACGACATATTTGAATACCGATGATTGAAGTTTTCTGGCCATTTGAAGTCAAATAGCTAATCTTTCTTTTGTGGGGTTTATAAGAAGATGATGACATTGTTCTTTTTATATGTTTTTCATACTTTTTAGGTCTGGATATTCCATAGCTTGAATTTGGACAATTAGTGTTGGATCTTATAGCATTGAGCATGTAAGCAACAACAGAAGGTGAAGAAGAAATTTCCGGTAGCAACGAAAAGTCAGAATCATGTATAATGGAGAAATAGTCAACAAGGGCTTTGCATAGTCCATATACAAAACTCCAACAATATCTTTAATATTCGATGCCTCCCAACATCAGAGGTAAATTTGTCCAAATTTAAAAAAAAATTAAAAAATTCAACTTTTTTTTATGCAATGCACATTGTAGTTCTAGACCATCAACATCAGGGGCAAAAATTGTAATCATAGGAGCTTATTATACTCTCCACCATCAGAGGAAAGTTATAACATTCTTAGTAATTGAGTTACATAATTGTTTTTTTTTTCATGCACTGCGTATAGGTGAATTTAATTGAGTTACATAACTGGTTAATTTTTTCATGCATTACTTACAGGTTAATTCTTCTCAAATAAATTGTTATTGATTGTGTGTATGATATTGTTGGGCTGTAGTGAAAGATTGACTGGAATGACATCATACTTTCATTTCTTCCCTTTATACCATTGTTTTTTCAAGTTTTCTCATCAAGGCATAGTACTTAGATAAATCTGCCCTATCATAACATTATACCTTGGAACTTTTACCCCATAAAATGCTACTAAACCGTATTGAGCACGTTTACAACCGATGAACACATTGAAGCTTTGAAGCAGATAAATGATATTTTTGTTTAACCACATGGCGAAGATCCGGAACATGCCAATCAAATTCAAGGATGTAAAATACGGAAGGAAAAAACATCTCCTATTTGATTGCCATTATTAAGACTGTTGAAAGTGAGTTTTTGGAATCATCAGGAATGCAAGCATCTCTATGTAGAAAACTCCACCCAACTAAAGCACTTTTAATGAATGTACATTGCTATTGCTTTATCTTGCATTTATCCTATTCATCAATTGGTTGAGATTTGAGTATTCTGGCATTTTAATTTTATCTCACAACATTGTATTTCAATTTATTTTTTCTTATTTAGGTATTGTACTATGTAAGCACATTGGGCAAATAGACGTTGGATGTTAAGTTAAGAAACAATGTGGTATGGGATGTCATTGTACATTATTAGCTGGAGAACGGAAAAAATCCTAAATGATTTTACTTCTAATTAACAATATTTACAACATGACAACTATTAAATCCTCAAAAAAACCACATAAACCACATAAATCACTTGGAGAACGGAAAAAATCCTAAATGATTTTACTTCTGCTTCTATAATAGTTGCCGAGTCCTTTAATTTTGTGAGAGGTACCTTTTTAAATCCTCAAAAAACCACATAAATCACTTGGTGAACATGACAACTATTATTTATTTCCTTCTTAGTTTTTAATTTAATTTTAATGTTTATATCACAAAGAACAGTGTGGTATTCGGTCGTTCCGCATTATTATTATTATTATTATTTTTTTTTTATTATTAGTATTTTTATTATTTTTATTTTGCATAATATCCCATCCTTTT